TTATGGAGGTGTAATGTACATACTACAAACATTTACCAGTGTTACCAGTTTGCTTTAATTTGTAATTGTATTTTAATCACTCGTGACTCTGAGGATTTGACTCTATGGGTGAAGTTTATGTTCATGCCCTTTGAATTTTCGTTAAATGGAATGTGGGTAATGAACTTGAGGCGTGTCGGAGGAACAGTTTCTTTATTTGAAGTCACACTTTGAGCTGTTCCTCATTAAACTAGCAGAATTTAAAATTAGGATAATGCCTTTTTCTTTGTTATTCCTTAATATCTCTAATTCTTAGCCTACGTTGTTTAACAAACAAAAGAAAAAAAGCCTTACCCTAGAGCCTTAGAAATGTATGTCCTGAGTTGACATAAACTTATTCAAGATAACTGAAGGGGCATGGAAGGTTATACATAGAGTAGGGCATGATCAGAAAATTTTTGGTGGGCAAAAGCTCTTCGGGATTTTTTGAGTCCATCCCAGTATGGCCCTGTGGTTCTTTCAGACAACCAATCCTTGTCAGCATCATTAGGAGTTTTCATTCTTCTAGCTTGCTGGGGCCTCGTGGGGATCTTGCTGTCTGTAGCTCTCAGTGTGTCCTTTGCACAAGGGTGGAATTGTCACTAACAGTCCCCAATTCTAATTGCATTAAGTGTCTTTACAAAGACTTCCATTTTGGCCCCTCCATGGGGAAGGGCATACTTCAGCTAAGGGAGTTGCTATGCATCTCCCAAACCCAGCTCTCTCCCACTTCCTGCCTTCTGACAGCTGAAGGTTTTAAGGTTCCCTTTTTAGCACAGTTCTTTAAAAATTTAAATGAGACATGAAGTCATGTCACAGAAGCAAGCTCCCTGTCCTGCCCAGTAGGGCCAGTGTGCAGATGGGGCCTCCCAATAGTAATTCTCTCAGGTCCCCTTTCTGAGAACTGCACTGAAGGGCCGGCCATATGGTAGCTCTTACTTCCCATGTGTTTTCATTTCATAATTTTTTGTTACCAAAATATTTGGTCCTCAGAGCTGCTAACAGGTGATAATAACAAAAATGAAGCTGATTTGAATTTAAATTTCTTTATCAAGTCACCACAGTCATAACAAAAAAAGGCAAGGACCAGCCCTGTGCTTTTGGGCTTCTCTGATATTGCCCCAGAGGTAACAGGGCTGCACTCTTACCCTGCAGGATTCATGTGAAAAGCAAATGAAATAATATCTGCAAAGCAACTAATGCAGTTTTCTTCCTCCTTCTCATAGTAATTATAATAATTACAGAGGAGCAAATGCTTGGGAAGTGAAAGTTGCAGAGTCTTGTGTGTACACAGAGGGTTTACATAGATTTGTCACTCAAAAGGTGGGGTGGGGGAGACTTTCCTGAGATAGCAATAAACTTGGAGGGTCTGAAGTGTTGCATAACCCTGTAACTCACAGAGTTGGAGACGCTGCTTTATCAGTGAGTGTGCCAGTTCTTGTGTGTGTGTGTGTGTGCGTGTGTGTGTGTGTCTATGTGTGTGTGTGTGTTTGTGAGTGTGTGTGCATGTGTGTGTGTGTGTGTGTATCTGTCATTGCTTCCCAGTTCTTCCTCATGGATGAGGTGCC